AAATTTCTAAACTTTTCACGATTGTTAAGTGATTATTAAAGAATACAGTCAAATATTTTCCGTTAATAATAAATATTTTTAGCACAATTAAGACAGTGATTAACAACGTAGATAAAGTGGTTAAGCAGATTCTCTAGCTTCAGGCTTCGAGTTGAAGGCGACGTTTGGGAATTTTTTAACTGAAAATGATCTAGCCTAATAATGTCAGACTCGGCACGGTTGTTGTAAAGCTATTGATGAACGGTCTGAAAATTTGTCAGAGGAATAACGATGATTTTCCTGGAAGTTACAGATAAAAATATAAAACCGTGTTTGATGGACTACGTCGGATGAATAAGTAATATCGGTATAGAAAGGAGGCAATCATTTTTCAAATTCGGGATGAACAGTGAGTTGATCGATGAGAGAGGGGCCCGTATTCCACGGTGATCCGGCGTCCTTATCGCAAACACGATATTTATCGCGGAACAAACGATTGGCACGCGTCCCATTTCGCCGAACGGAACGACACTCGACACGAAAATTCCCCTCGTTTTGGAGGCGCGATTTACTCTCCCTCTGAGCGAATGTTTCCCGTGAGCTTCTTTCGCTCGCCCATCTGCCTTTCTTTCGTTCACGGCGGAGGCTTTCAAAGGCGAAAGCTCGTGTTCGCGCCGAGGCCGGTGCGCCAGCGCGCGGCCCGGAACATCAAAGCGTGCGTCGAGACGCTTTCCCCGGGAATTTTCTCGCCGTGCAAGAAAGCCCATCGAAATTTTCCTCCTCTGTTCGCTCGATAGAAAGTCCGTAGTAATTTCCGCGAAGTTGATCGCGGTCTACCCTCGCCCCCCTCCCCCTCCCATTCCACGGGGGCGAAAGAAATTTCGCTGAAGCGACGCGAAAATTGAAATTTTGGAGCCGTCAATGTTTATTCTCCTCCTTCGCCTAGAGTGATGTGGCAATCCCCTTATATTCTAGCAGACGCGGCTCGGTCCCAAGGCGAACGAGAGTTGCCAACATTTCAAATGCAGCAACGGTTCGGACCTCGTAGAATAAGGGGTCTTGAACTTCGGGACTTTCGAGATAGCGCCTCGAACAGTTCGCTGTTTCAAACTTAGAAACCTGTAATTTGGGACCTAAAATAGATGAGGATCAGGGACTCAGGGACATTCGAGATATGATCTCCAATGGTTAAGGTCCTGGGACCTATAGGCTCGCTAATTAGGACTTCCAATCATTTAGGGACTGAAACTGGCAGACTTGAAAGCTGAGGCCACAAATTATTATGACCAGGGAAGTAAGGATTAGTTGATTGAGACTCGAGAAATTAGGACCTCATAGAGTTAAAGGTCCGAATTTTAGGACTTCCTAATAATCCTTTAATCAGGACTCCAGAAATTAGGATCTCATAAAGTTAGCGATCCGAATCTTAGAGATTTACAAGATAGGATCTTGAGAAGTCAGAGAACCGAGTCTTAGGAATTTTTAAGCTACGACCTCGAACATTTAGAGCCTTGCTAATCAGGACTCCAGAAATTAGGATCTCATACAGTTAGCGATCCGAATCTTAGAGATTTACAAGATAGGACCTTGAGAAGTCAGAGAACCGAGTCTTAGGAATTTTTAAGCTACAACCTCGAAGATTTAGATCCTTGCTAATCAGAACACCAGAAATTAGGATCTCATAAAGTTAGAGGTCCGAATCTTAGGGACTTCCAAGTTAGGACCTCGAGCAGTCAGAGAACCGAGACTTGGGAATTTTTAAGCTACGACCTCGAACATTTATATCCTTGCTAATCAGGACTCCAGAAGCTAGGACCTCGTAGACTTAGGTCGCTCATACTTCCAGTCCCTCGAGTCAGATCTTCCAGTAAAATTCGTCCGGCACTTTGGCGCAGGAATTATCATGGAAATGACAGTTGATCCTCGGGCGTGGCCCCTCCGGAATACGCTCGCCGTTGATACTGAACGAAAACAATATTCGCCGAAGTAAATGCTAATGAACCGACCGAAATTCAATCTAAACCGTGTAATCTTGGGCCGCCCCTTTTATTACGCCGTAAAGAAGGCTCGTTTATGTATCGCGCGGCGGGGCCGGGAACACGAAAAAGGAGAACGCCGATAATGAGGAGAAGGAGGGGGGAGAAAATACGTGTAAGTGGTAATGGCTGACTTGTACAGCGATCGGCCGCGTCGGGAACATGTTTAAATTCGACGATAGCCGGAGGTTTACTCCGGTTGATGAGACCTATCCTCGTTCATACGGAAAACAAAAACAAGCCTCCGGCAGCCACGAAAATCGACGAGAAAATATCTGACGCACTGGTAGCGGCTTCTGGTCTCGCGAGATGAATTTTACGCGTGCTAATTGGGAAAGGGACTGCCGAAAGATTGAACGAGGTTCAATATTCACGGCACAGCGTCGGAACGATTCTTCACTCGTTACGTACCCCCGCGCTGTAACCCCCCTCGTGACCGCCCTGATGATAAACAAATAGGTTCGTATCTAATTCTCGGGGGACACGCCTTACTTTAACGAGGGTGGAAGGAACGTGATTGCGAGTACGCGACGACCCTAGGCTGCTCTCGGCGTATTAAAAACGCGATAAATATTTAGCAGCTTATTCGGCGACTGTCGATTCCCAGCCGGAGACCCGGCCTCGCATCCGCAAAAATTGCGTACGGTCAACATCTGCCTGGTATACGCTGCATAGAAACCCGTCGGACTATTTGTCAAAGCCTCCTAAACGGCACGGGGTGTGCAGCTCGGTAGCCGAGCCATTCATCAAAGACGACGTGCATCCTCGGGATACGGTGTCCGACGAGAAAGAAAAATTTCGAGCCGCTTTCCGCCACGCGGAGAAAACTCGGCGCGCATAGAAAGTATTCACCGAACAACAACGGCACGTGCTGCTGCCAATTATAATGACCCACTTGAGCCGAGGCTCCTCTGCTCCCGGCGGATGTGTCTCGGGCAACGGCGGGCGCAGCGCCGGGATCCTAACGCGGCCGCGTTGCAAGTCGGTTAATCGCGCGAAAGAACGGTATATATCGCGACGTTAATTAAGAAGGATGTCTCGGGGTATTAGCCGAAGCCTACCCCACCCCCGGCGTTCATCCGAGTCGGCGAGAAACGGGGGGGGGGGGATGGCTCTGCGCGTGACGCAACCACCAGCGAANAGCGATCCGAATCTTAGAGATTTACAAGATAGGATCTTGAGAAGTCAGAGAACCGAGTCTTAGGAATTTTTAAGCTACGACCTCGAACATTTAGAGCCTTGCTAATCAGGACTCCAGAAATTAGGATCTCATACAGTTAGCGATCCGAATCTTAGAGATTTACAAGATAGGACCTTGAGAAGTCAGAGAACCGAGTCTTAGGAATTTTTAAGCTACAACCTCGAAGATTTAGATCCTTGCTAATCAGAACACCAGAAATTAGGATCTCATAAAGTTAGAGGTCCGAATCTTAGGGACTTCCAAGTTAGGACCTCGAGCAGTCAGAGAACCGAGACTTGGGAATTTTTAAGCTACGACCTCGAACATTTATATCCTTGCTAATCAGGACTCCAGAAGCTAGGACCTCGTAGACTTAGGTCGCTCATACTTCCAGTCCCTCGAGTCAGATCTTCCAGTAAAATTCGTCCGGCACTTTGGCGCAGGAATTATCATGGAAATGACAGTTGATCCTCGGGCGTGGCCCCTCCGGAATACGCTCGCCGTTGATACTGAACGAAAACAATATTCGCCGAAGTAAATGCTAATGAACCGACCGAAATTCAATCTAAACCGTGTAATCTTGGGCCGCCCCTTTTATTACGCCGTAAAGAAGGCTCGTTTATGTATCGCGCGGCGGGGCCGGGAACACGAAAAAGGAGAACGCCGATAATGAGGAGAAGGAGGGGGGAGAAAATACGTGTAAGTGGTAATGGCTGACTTGTACAGCGATCGGCCGCGTCGGGAACATGTTTAAATTCGACGATAGCCGGAGGTTTACTCCGGTTGATGAGACCTATCCTCGTTCATACGGAAAACAAAAACAAGCCTCCGGCAGCCACGAAAATCGACGAGAAAATATCTGACGCACTGGTAGCGGCTTCTGGTCTCGCGAGATGAATTTTACGCGTGCTAATTGGGAAAGGGACTGCCGAAAGATTGAACGAGGTTCAATATTCACGGCACAGCGTCGGAACGATTCTTCACTCGTTACGTACCCCCGCGCTGTAACCCCCCTCGTGACCGCCCTGATGATAAACAAATAGGTTCGTATCTAATTCTCGGGGGACACGCCTTACTTTAACGAGGGTGGAAGGAACGTGATTGCGAGTACGCGACGACCCTAGGCTGCTCTCGGCGTATTAAAAACGCGATAAATATTTAGCAGCTTATTCGGCGACTGTCGATTCCCAGCCGGAGACCCGGCCTCGCATCCGCAAAAATTGCGTACGGTCAACATCTGCCTGGTATACGCTGCATAGAAACCCGTCGGACTATTTGTCAAAGCCTCCTAAACGGCACGGGGTGTGCAGCTCGGTAGCCGAGCCATTCATCAAAGACGACGTGCATCCTCGGGATACGGTGTCCGACGAGAAAGAAAAATTTCGAGCCGCTTTCCGCCACGCGGAGAAAACTCGGCGCGCATAGAAAGTATTCACCGAACAACAACGGCACGTGCTGCTGCCAATTATAATGACCCACTTGAGCCGAGGCTCCTCTGCTCCCGGCGGATGTGTCTCGGGCAACGGCGGGCGCAGCGCCGGGATCCTAACGCGGCCGCGTTGCAAGTCGGTTAATCGCGCGAAAGAACGGTATATATCGCGACGTTAATTAAGAAGGATGTCTCGGGGTATTAGCCGAAGCCTACCCCACCCCCGGCGTTCATCCGAGTCGGCGAGAAACGGGGGGGGGGGGATGGCTCTGCGCGTGACGCAACCACCAGCGAAATCAGAGCCGGCCGTGGTGTGGGTGTACTCGGCCTCGTGCACGCCGCGGGTGAAACGGGAGTACATTGCTTTATGGCTTACCATCGTCAGGGACGCGGCCGTCCCTCGAGCGTACTGGAATTCCGGGACACTCACCTGAAACCAGAGAAAGAGGCGCGTTAGAAGGTTCATGGTGAACCCTAACGAACTCGGCGAGCAAAGGTGACGGCACAATGTGCTGGGCCGTCTCGTTACAAGGTCGCTTTCTTCGATTAATCTTTACAGCTTAGGTTTGCTCGGCGAGAAGGTTAAGGTCGCATTGGTGAGAAATGAAAGAAAAGGCAAGAAAAGTAAGGAGACAGCGTCATCGAGGCGGAGTTGGTCAGAATAGGCGGTGCTTGGAACTAGGGAGGGGGAAGCGTATAGCCAATAAATTCGCTGTGCTCTCTATAAGCTAGAGAGTTATGGCTAGTTATAGTTATAAGATTGTTCTCAATGCTATGTCCAGAAGTGGACACAAAGAAAGTGGGAGGAGCAATCGAATGGGGAGGAGACTGACAAAGAAGGCGGGACTAGACTAGGGTCCAATGTTTGAGTAATATTTAATCAATGAATTTGTGAAGATGCGACTACTATCATCTGTAATTACATTAACAAATCTATAGCATCAGTAAGAACATAATCTGAGACGCGACAAGAAGTAGGCGGGGCAAGAGAATAAGGCGGAGCCTAATAGAGTGGGCCCCCAAAAGTGGGAGTGGTGTACAGAAAATATATATATATATAATTAGAGAGTATATTTGTAGATTCGGATCGAAGAAATGATGGCGAGAACAAGTGGAGGAGTCGAAAATTGAATGATACTAAAAAACTGAAACGGCTTAGCTAGACATAACCTAAACAGCAGCTTATACACTCGTCTAACAGTACTATACGCAGTAATATCCAAATGGAGCATGCGCCGCCAGCAGTCACTGTTGGCGCGTCCTCTTTTTCTGCAATCGAGGCGCTAAAATAGACCGAGAATACATTTGTGAAATTTATTGACTGTCGCCGCGGGCGGCATTCAGTTTCAGAATAAGCGTTCCGTCGATGTAAATGCGTTCCCTTGGATTAATTTCCGGCTGGCTATGGGTACGCGGCGGCAGCTACTCATAAGCGAGAATTTTCGCGTTCCGTGATTGCAAAGCGGACGGTTCCGAGGCACGTGAAAAATTATCGACGTTTCGAAACCGAGCATACCAAAAATATTCCCCGGAACGGTGAATCCGAACTTTCTGAGCAACGAGGGACGGGGCGAAGAGAATACCCCGGAAAACGGAGTCGAAGCGTTTACGAGGTATTCTTGGCGGTTTCCCCCGGGACAAGTTCGTTTGAACACGGGGCAAGGAACGAATTAATTGGAAGGTAAACGCATGTCCATAATGGCGTATCCGACATTGTATGTACGTGCGATTTCGTGTCCCCGGGGCAGCGTGTCCCTTTAGTCGTTTCAAAATGCCTTCCGGCAGCGCAAACAACGCCGCTGCCAACCAGCTTCAACGTGGTTACCGTGCGCGCCGGTTGTTACACGTTTACATCGATAGAATTCATGTTTAGTAATTTCGCCCTGTATTCTTCCCGGCCGTATCCGCCCGCGTCTTCCGTCACCGCGGCGCGGTGTGTCCTTTAAAACTTGCATCACCCTGGAGTCACCAGCGCTTTAGAATCGGCCTGTACCGTTCCACGTGTACCGTGGCTTTAATTCACGCGGCGCTGGCCTAAATCGTCGGAGCAGGCATGAAAACCGCGATCATAAAAGTAATAGCGCGGAATCGTGTCATCGGTAATGCGCTCGCAGCCCCGGCTGAAATATTAACATTATTCCCGGCCGCGGGACGACGTTAATAAGCAAATTTTCGTAGAAAGCAGGTCGCGCGTGACAGCTCTTCAAAACGCACGCATAAATTGGACGTGGCGTGTCGAGCTCAGTTTCCGCGGGCTCGCTTTCGAACGGGCCAGAGGATTACCACGGGGACACGCCGTTTAAACCGTATCGTCGGCCATCGAACGAGCCTCTCGACCGCCGTTTTTCCGCGGAATCGACGTTAATACCTTCCGCCCGCGAATTACCGCGTTTCTTGCGCTCGCGCGAAAATCTGCGCAGCGCGGAAAAAGCGTCGTTGGAACGAGACATCGATTCGCATCGCCGGTATATTTTTCGCTGATTACACGGTGGACCTCTGTCGCAAACAGAAACACTAAAGCAAGCTAAAACGGAAATTGCTCGGATCCGCTATCAAACATAGCCGCGTTTTCTTTCCTCGATTTTCACCGGCCCGACCCTTCCATTCTCTTTTCATCCCGGCGAAATCGTAAATCGAAGCCCGCGCCGTCTCTATGCTTCTTTTTTGCCAACGAAGAATCGATAGACCGTTGTTTACCGGCGCATACCATGCTTAAGGCTGGAAGACACACGTGCCACGTGGTATTTTCGTTCTGGACGCGAGCCGAACCGCCGCTACGAATCGGAACCGTTGAAACTTCCATCGCGGGCTGTACCATCGTTACGCCATCGTTTCGCGAACAGGAAAGAAAAATGAAAACGAAGCCGGCAACGACGCTTCAGCGGCGAACGCATGCATATTCAAGTCGCCGTAAACAGTTCGTGTACCATGAGAGCGGAACAACTGTTATCAATTGCGTGCCGAGTGACGGCTACGAATGATTGATAACGATGTTCCGTGAGCCGCGCTAGTTGGTGACACGAGGAAACCTGACCACACGAATTTTCCAGTCATTAAGTCCTTCTCTCATTAGCGGCGGACACGAAATTATTGCGACAGATCTCCCGGGAACGTTGTTACACGCGGGAACCTTCGAGAGATGAATCAGAAGTGTGAATAATAGAACGCGTGGTTGGGAAAATGGAGCAGGGACGATATGTGAACGTACACAAGTAAAAATAGAGATGGCACATGCAGCAAGTAGACGAGGATTGTACGTAGTCGGCCAAGTGGATGAGAATGGCACGTAGTCAGACAAGTGGTTGAGGATGGTACGTAGTCAGACAAGTGGGCGAGGATGGTACGTAGTAAGGCAAGTAGATGAGGATGGTACGTAGTCAGGCAAGTAGATTACGAGGGTATGTAATTAGGCAAGTAGATTACGAGGGTACGTAGTCGGACAAAGTAGAATGTACGGTATGTAGTCACACAAACAAAGTGTATGGTATATAGTCGGACGAGTAGAATGTATGATACTTAGTCAGACAAGTAGAATGCATGGTACGTTGTGAGACAAGTAGAATGTACGGTACGCAGTCAGACAAGTAGAATGTATGGTACGCAGTCAGACAAGTAGAATGTAAGGTACATAGTCAGACAAGGAAAATGGTACTAATAATATCTAAAGCTGCTAAAATTATTTTTCAGTGCAGATACAAGTTCCTGCCGAGTCTCACAGTAAGGAAAAAATTGAGAATGAAACTCGCAACTGACCTCCGTCGATCAGCTGATTTTGCCGGGCTCCTGAACGCGGCGAAACAGGAGTTTATTATCGCGGTCACGCGAGTATGTCGATCGCCAAGCGTCCTTCTCTGCGAATCATTGGCAGATAGCAGGTTCAACGCCGACCGCACGACAGAATCGACTCGTCCTTTAGCGTTTATTATTCATGAGGCGTGGATGCATCGCGTTGCTTTCGAATCAATTTAACAAAATCGATTTTTCCAAAGCGTGGCTAACACGGGGTAAATGTGAAATTAGCGAGAGAAATGGAACGACATTCGAATTGAATTCCGAGTGTGTTTCCTTCTCGAACGGAAGGATAGTCACGCTCGCGCGTCAAGTCGATTCGCTTTGGCCGTAAACCGGCGGGGTTAACTGGGGCTTCGATCGATAAAGACCATTTATAATTTTGTCACAAACGCAAACGTACCGACTTCTCGTTGGCCGCGGCGGCGTACCATCGGCGGTTCTCTCTCATCGGGGGGATAAGAAACTATTAATGATTAACAAGAATGGAAGCGTGCCGGGCGTCTCTGCATTATGCAGTTGCCGAGCTGCGAAATTTGCATACTCGTTGTCCACGCCACGGAAACAATTACCGTCGGGGCGAAATCGCGCGGTTGCGTAATATCGACCCGATGAATTCTTAAGTAGACCGGATTAAATTCGATAACAAAGTGTGACGCGAGACGGCCGTCGACAGAACAATATTCAAAACACCCCTGGGCAAAAAAAAGGAAACATCATCGAGCGGTCGGTTAAATTAAACAACAAACACCGTATTACAATTCGAAATCGGGCAAAATATTTGCGCGGTCTTTATATACCGATATGCTGCACGCCGCGCAGTGCAAATTAATCTAAACATTTAATAACAGGATGGAAGCGAACCACGCCCTTTCCACACATTCGCGATAAACATGCCTGCCGGTTTGCATGTAACCGGCGGTCGCAACGCGCGTGCATATCGTAGCGCGCGGGACGAGGACGCGGCGATAATAATTATCCCCGAATTCGGGGGAAGATTTTAACGAGCGAAAGTAATTTCCTCGTCGCGTTCGAACGGTGCGATGAGGTGCCGGAAAATTATCCGTAACCCGTAACTTTCCGGTGGGTAACGCACTTAAGCCGGCGGCCGTTTACGGCATAAAGAAAACGAAAACAAAAAGGGTCCGATGGGGCCAAAGAAAACCGTGTTTCATCGCGCCGGCTGCTGCTGCGCGGGGGGAGGGAGGGGGGTGCGGCTGCTTCCGAACCACGGCCAGAAAACTTGCCAGGTAGGATAACGGTGCAACAAGGAAGGGCAATTTATCTTGTTGTATTAGCAAATGGATGATAATGATGCAGTGAGAGAGGCGGCGGCCCCGGGGTCGGGGGCTCAGGGGCGGCTCGGCAGAAAGTGTCGGAAGCTTCTGTAAGCAGCCGTAGTTACTGGCGGCCAACTTAAGTGTACGTGCATTAGTGTGACGCCGCCTTAAGTGTGCGCCGCCGTGTATCCGTAACAGTTTGCGCGCGGGCGTTCTGCATCGATACACACTCCCTAAAACCGGGCGCAAGAAATGTAATGCAGCTCCTATTTAGGCGGTGCAGCGTTTCCAAGGAAACGGCAGAGAATGCCGTGGACTTAGACGCAAAACGATTGCAATAAATGGACCGAGAATTTCTGCG